CAGGTGGGACCCCTGAGAGCCAGTAGGACCGCTGGGGACAGGCAGGAGCCCCCCGAACTCTTGGAGCATGTGGGGACGTCCGGGTGGACATGTCAGGACCCCACACCCCCCTCCACCATTCAAGGCAGGCAGGGACCCTCATCCCCAGGGCAGAGGGGCCACTCAGAAGCAGACGGGGACCCACCAACTCCCTGGTGCCAGAGGGACCTCCCCCAGGGCAGAGGGACACCCCCTTTTCAGGACAGAGGGTGCCCCACTCTCAACAGGGTCACAGGGCATTTGGGGGCCCCCAAACTCTGGGACAGGTGGAGACGAACCTCGTCTCCCCGGCCGATGGGAACCCTCTGTGGGAGAAACAGGGGCAACCAGGAACCAACAGGAGACACCACCACCACCACCAAGGGCCAGCAGAAATCCCCCAGGTCAGCAGGAATCCCCCCCTTTCAAACACAGAGGGTCCCCAGGCAGGGACCTCAACCTCTGGCAACCCCCCAGGACAGAGACACCCCAGTGACCTCCTCCAGCAAGGACCAGGGGGGCAGCTGGGGACCTCTACACTGGGGCACCTCAGGCAAGGAGGCACCCTGGGGACAGGGGGGGGGACATCCAACCTCCTGAGCAAAGGGGGACCTTCCCCTCCCTGCCCCAGGATCGTCATCCCCAAGGGCAGATGGGGACATACAGCTACCCCCTGGGGACAGAGGGGACCCCTCGGGCCACGGACCCCAGGTTTCAGGGGTAGAGAGTGCACTGGCAGGGACCACCCCCCCCAGACACTTGGGAGAAGGACACACCTGCACCTCAGGGGCAGAGGGGGTGACAAGGACTCCCCCCAAGAACAGAGGGGACACACTCTCACCAGGGACACTCTTTCCCCACCCCTTCCATGGGTAGAGGGTCGGTGTCATTTCCCCCTACACCCCCACCCGGCAGGGATTCCCTGGATGCAGGCAGGGACTGCCACTCCTGGGCATTTGGGGACAGAGGTGGCACGCCACAACATCCCACCCCCGGGGCAGATGAAGGACACACATGCCTGGGGCAGATGGGGGTACCTGAGGACAGACAGGGAGCCTCCTACCCCTCTGGGGCCAGAGGGGATCCCTCTGGGTAGAGGGTAGAGGAACACCCCCAATTTCAAGGGCAGAGGGTACCCCCAGCAGGGACCCAGCACAGGCAGAGACCTCCAGCCCGTGGGGTAGGTGGGGACTCCTCAGGGAACACTTGGGGACCTCCAGCCCCTGGGGCAGCAGGAGACAAACTCCTCCCTGGAATACGTGGGGTGTCCTGTGGGAACTTGGGGACCTCCAGTCCCAGGGTAGGTGAGGGCACTCTGGGCAGACAGGTACCCCCCCCCCCAAGGGGGCCAGAGGGCCAGAGCGGGGACCCCTCCTTTCAAAGGTAGAGGGTCTGTGCCCCTCGCCGGCAGGGACCCCTGGGGACAGGCAGGACCTCCACTCCTGGGGCATTTGGGGGACCCCTTCAAACCCTGGGGCAGGAGGAGACAAATCCCCCGGAGGACAGGGGACTCCAGTCCCTGGGGATGTGGGGGCATGCCGGGAGAGACGGGGACTTCCCCAAGAGGGCACCCCCGGATCAGCTCCCCCACCACCACCAGCAGGGACCCCTGGGGCAGATGGGTCACTCCTGGGGACATCTGGGACTTCCAGACCCTGGGGCAGAGGGAGACACGCCCACCCACCCTCCCCGGACAGACGGTAACCCCCACCCACGGGGGCAGAGGGGACTCCCAGACCAGGGACACCACCACCCCCCTTTCAAAGGTAGAGGGTCTGTGCCCCCCCCCCAGGCAGGGACCTCCACTCCTGGGGCAGGTGAGGGACCCCTGGGGACACTTGGAGACCTTCAAACCCTGGGGCAGGAGGAGACAAATCCCCCGGAGCGCGGGGGACTCCAGTCCCAGGGCACGTGGAGCCATGCCGGGAGAGACGAGGACCCCCCAACAGGGACCCCCGAACCAGGCCCCACCTCCCTCCACCGGCAGGGACCCCTGGGGACACGCAGGGACCTCCACTCCCGAGGCAGATGGGGAACCCTCGGGGACAACTGGGGACCTCCAGACCCCGGGGCAGAGAGAGACATCTCCCCCCTCCACCCTTCTTGGGCAGACGGGGACCCCCGCGGGCAGCCAAACCTCCACCCCCCGGGTCCCCGCTCACCGTGTGTGCCCTGTCGGGGCTGCGCGAAGCCGCCGCGGGTTCCGCCGCTGGGATAGAGACGGCGATCATGGCCCGGGGGCCTGGGGGGGCCGCGGGGCGGGGAAGGGCTGCGGGGCGGGGGAGGGACCGCCCCGAGCGCCCGCAGCGGGGACACGGTCCCTAAAGCACACCGGGGAGGGTCCTGCGACCCCACATCCAGCACAAGGGGAAGAAGGGGGGGAATGGAGGAGCCGCCGGGACGCCGCTTTACAGGGATATGGGGAAAGGAAAGTGGGAAGTCAGAACCAAGCTGCGTTTTCCCTTTTTTAAGGCAGAAGGGGTATCGGTTTTGGTGAAATCCACACGTGGGGGGCTGGGGGGAGGTTGAAGGGGCAAACCCATCCCTGGGCACGTTGGGGCAGGAGCATCACACCCCCAAAGGCTTCCCAGTGGATTTTAGGGAATGCCACAAAGTGGAACCGCTACAGAGCCCCTGCTGAGCTCAGATCCTAAAAACGGCTCCCACTGGGAGCAGGGCAGAGAGCCAAAGCCTAATCAGGAGCAGGGACAGGTGGCCAGGGCAGTGTCCAAGGTCACCCTTGTCCCTGACACAATACGGGGGAGGCTCCACTGCCTCCCCCAAACCCCAGAGAATGTGCCGTTAGCTCTCCCCACGCCCACCCCCAACACTCAGAGCCTGTTTGCCCTGATAGAAGTTTTATTACAGAATTTTAATGGCACTGCAGGAGTAAGATAAATCATTAGAGCCCTAAAACCCTGCCTGAAAAATAGACATTTGCCAGATCTTGATAACCCCCTGGCTGTGGGTCTGGTCTGGAAGCAGGAAACTAGTTTTTCTTCAGTAAGAAAATATATGTTGCTAAATGAAAAATATACAGTTAGAAGAGTTACTGGCTCGCAAGCTGCTCGTCTGGGGGTGACACCTCTACCAGCTCCAGCATGTGGAACGAGGGGTCGCTCACGTGGAAAAGAGGAGGAGGTATAGTGTATATATATATTAAAAAAAAAAAAAAAAAGGCAAAATAAAGGTTTGTTCGCTCGGTCCGATTACGAAATGGCCTTGGCTTCAGGCAGGAACGCTTCCCAGTACTTCACCAGCTGCAGGGAGGAGAGAGGGAGAGAGTCAGGAGCCTTGAGGACGCACTTGGGGGGGGTGGTCACACTTGAGGGGTTCACAACCTGGGCCTGAACTTGGAGGTAAAACCACATCAGGGGCCACTCACCTGTTGCTGAGAGTTTAACAACGTCTCAAGGTATTTCGTGACATGGTTTCTGAAGTCCTTGGATTTCTCTTTCTGCAAGAGATGGGCATGAGGCTGAATCAAATACCAAAACCCTCCTGAAAGAGAAACTGCCAGGATGTTCCTGTTCCTCCTGGGGCCTCACAAGAGCACCAGCACAAGGGCCTGGGAGATGGAGGATCTTTGCCCACCCACCTTCATTTGAACAGATACCCTGTGGAGAAGCCACCTCAGCCAAAAGCCCTCAGCAGTGCCCCAGCTCACACATGTCTGGATTTATGGATACTGCTGGATACCCGGGTGCCCCATGGCTGACCCAGGCTGGCATTCCCAGCCGAGGGCTGCCCCAAACATACCTCAAACCGTATCACTTCCTTGCGGATGACAGTAGAAATCCGCTCAAAGTCCCTTTCATACTGTGTCACACGGGACTCCCACTGTGGAGAGAGGAAGTGTGCTGTTTCAGGGCAAGGGAAGGAACTTCTGCTCCCCTCTCCAAGGGTGTCTGTAGCCACAACTGGATGTGTGAGAGGTGTTTGCTGGAGCAGAGCCCGGTGTTCCTGGTCCTCTTCACCACAGGAAGCTCAGCAGGGAAGTCACGGGAGGTGGGATTGTGAGCAGCTCCACTCAAGGCTGGCTTATCCCTTGTTGCAGCTTGTCCTTAGACACCTGTCCCTCCTGCTCAGGAGGTCCTCCCCAGCCCTGACGATCCCTTCCCCAGCCCAGAAGGTCCCCTGCTGGAGCACAGAGGGTAGGAGCAGAGCAGAGATCCCACGCTCCTCATTCCCTACCTCTGAGATCTCATCCTTGGCCTGCTGCAGCTTGTCAGGTTTGTTGGCCCACAGCAGCCTGGCCTCCATCTCCCTCTTCTTCTGCAGCATGGTCTGGGCATCCTGCCACCGCTGCCAGGTCTTCATGCGCTGGTCAAAGGCTCCCTGGAGGCAAGGAGGGGGCAGAGGTTGAGCTCTGTGCTGCCAGAGCGGCTCCAAGGGGCTCTGCTGGCAAGGAGACACTTGCCAAGGGGATACCTGAGGTGCTGGACCAAAGCTGAGCCAGAACACAGACTGGATCCTGCTCTGGAGCACCCACAGCTCCCAGTATGGACTGGCAGACAAGGGAGGTTGTGTCCTGGCCTCTGCAGCCTTCAGAAACTCCTGCTCAGAGGCAGGATGTGTTTGGGGTGGGAAGGGCTCAGCCTGCAAGACCTGCTGCTCTCTTGGAATTGCTTCTTCCAGCCTCTGGCAAGGCCAGAACACCAGACTTGAAGACTAAGGCTCTTCCCCAGCAGGCACTTGGCAGGCCTATCTGCACCACTTGGATCACAGGTCATCAGCTCACAGTCTCAGCCTTCACCTCTGGAAGGGCTGAGGCCACTTACAAGCTGGGAACTCGCTCCACATCCCCTCTGGAGAACAGTGGCATGGCCAGGCCTCACCTCACCACAATCTTCCAACCTGACTACCTGCTCGCCTGGACAACCAACAAGTTTCCCTGTTCCTGGAGAAGCCATGCCATGTGTGCCCTCTGCTTGAGTTTGGAAGACCTCCTGGCATCCCTAAGCCTAAGCTGGGTACAAGGAGCAGGAGCAGTGCTTACCCTCACAACTGAGAGCAGGCGGATGTAGTCCCCCAGGAGCTCGGCCAGGAGGAAGAAGTCATTGTTGGCCTGTTCGTGGTGCAGCTGTTCAATCTTCTCTTCCACCTCAGCCAGCTGGGACAGCGCCCGGGACAGGGCCGTGTTGTCCTCCGAGCTTCCCAGCATGGCCAAACTCTTGGCAAACTGGGCTGTGTTCAATGCCAGCTCTAGAAAAGGGATGAGAGTCAGGAGATGGGCTGGGTTGCACTGGGTGCTCCCCAGCCCAGGGCTCAGCCCGAGGAGTTGAGTCCCAGGAGACATCAGCTGGCAGGGCCAGTGGTGGCTGGGTCAGACCAGCAGCTTCCAGCCACGAGGAGAAGGGAAGCAGCCAAGCAGGGGGACAGGCACAGCTTTGCAGGAGTCAGTCAAAACATGCAGAGGAAGGAAAACATTCTCACTCCCTGCCAGAGGATGGGTGGGAAGACATAAGATCAGGTCTGCTCAGGTTTGCTACAGCAGCCTTCATTCCCACGAGAAAAGGCTAAGGGAATTGGGACTGTTCAGCTGGAGAAGAGAAGGCTCCAGGGAGACCCCAGAGCCCTTTCCAGTGCCTGAAGGGGCTCCAGGAGAGCTGGAGAGGGACTTTGGACAAGGGCCTGGAGGGACAGGACAAGGGGGAATGGCTTCCCACTGCCAGAGGGGAGGGATAGATGGGATATTGGGAAGAAATCCTTCCCTGTGAGGGTGGTGAGGCCCTGGTCCAGGTTGGCCAGAGACGCTGTGGCTGCCCCTGGATCCCTGGAAGTGTTCAACGCTAGGTTGGACAGGGCTTGGAGCAACCTCAGAGAGTGGAAAGTGTCCCTGCCCAGGGCAGAGGGATGGAACAAGATGAGCTTTAAGGTCCCTTCCAACCCAGACCATTCTGGGATTCCATGATCCCGTAGGACATAGGTTCCTTTCCACACCACCATCCCAAGCTTGTGGAGCTGGACAGAAGAATGGGGGTGACATTTTTACTTCTGTCTCCCGTGATGAAGAGACTCAGAAGTGTCCCTGGGACACCCAGCACTGCTAACCCCCCTCAGGCACTGCCCAGGGTGTGACTGTCACAGCCCAAGCCCCGGAGTGCGTGGTGCTGATCCGGTCACCTTTCCGGTGGTTCACCAGGGTCTCCACCACCGCGTGCAGCTTCCGCAGCCGCTGGTCCTCACACTCCACCTCCTGCAGCTTCTCCTCGAACCACTGGAAAGGGTAAATCCGCAGCTGATTCCCACACATGGGGCTTTCCCTGCACCCAAAGCTGGGGCTGGGAAGGGCACATGGTTCTGGAGCGAGGACGGGGACAGCCCAGGGTGTCCCAACACTTACTATGTCTGATTCATTCATCTTGATGGTCATTTTACTGACAGCATCTGTAGCTTTGTTGAACATCTTCAGTATTCCTGCTCCACTCAGAGTCTGGGTGCCTACTGCTCTTGGGAGCTGGAAAGGAATGGAAACATTTGCTTTGAGATGTGAAAAGATAGAGACAGGCTGGAGAGCTGGGGGTGCTCACCTGGAGAAGAGAAGGCTCCAGGGAGACCTTAGAAATGTTTCCAGTGCCTAAAGGGGCTCCAAGAGAGCTGGAGAGGGACTTGGGACAAGGGCCTGGAGGGACAGGA